AAAGAACCATTGATTTCTCCTTAAAATAATAAGAATACAAAGACCTATTAATATTTACTGCGCATACTCAAACAAATGAATCCTTTGTCGTTACCGAACCAAATTTATTAGAAATATTACTAATAAAATAAATTCTATGAAATAAGCAGATTATATTGCTGGGGATGAACTGTAAATTCATATATTAATCAGAACAATAGCTTGGACACTTCATCTCCCTCCCCTCAAGCTGAGCTGATGGCCATGAAGTCCTCAGGACTTACTCTTCTGCATCAGTACTCGACCTAACAGAAACAGAATAAGCTGATGCCAACTCTCTCAATGGCTCTAACGCACCGGTAGCAAACTTCCTGGCAAACAGGAAGAAGATAGCGGATGGCCGATCATTGTATGAGCAGTTCCGATCCCGATTGATCCGCTCCGGGAACATCCCGTTCATGTCAACCTTCCCAAAGGTTGCAGGGTGGCCTTTGTGATCCTTCTTCCACATCTTCCGAGTAAGGCTTCTGTTAGCTATAAGATGGGGTGCTCTCACGGTGAGCACCGTCGGAATGTAGTGCTCATCCGGAACGATCACTCCCCCGATAAGCTCATGGAAACTCACGTAGCATTTGGTCTCTTTGATGATGACAACGGCAACCTGGCGGCTCATCATGAACCACTGCGTGCTCTTATGCTTTTATCTCCTACTACAATTTGGATTAGTCGTGTCTTGTAAGTTAATCACGTGAATGATGATAGAATGATACGAAACATAGTTATTATTATTATTATTATTATTGACATATTCTTACTTTATGTTGCATATTGTATATATCGTGATGTCCTTAGATTTATGTAATTAGAATTGGATCATGATGAGATCATGATAATGAGATTAATTCGCCTATAAATACAGACCCTAAATATTTTCGATCATAGGTTGCTCGAGAAAAATATCGAGATAATTGGATATATCGGTATATTGTATACTTATATATATGATGTAGGCGGTTGGTCTCATAGTTGCTCGTGTAGAGACACTAGAGATATAGTATATGTGCTAATTAGAGAATGAATTCATCAAATGATCTACTCATGGAATGCTTGATAGTTAATGATACATCATTGTCAGACAATGATTCTGTAGTCTCAATTGTGTGTCTGGTCCCTAGACTTGAGACACCAAGGATGCTTTATATAAGTACTCCACTTTTTAATACCAGATTTATAGATCTGGAAGTTTCAGATCTTGCACAGCCAGTCATCGGGAGTAGTAGCCAACCTTACGAGGGCAATTGAGTGTCGATAGAGGATTATCCACTCTCGGTGTCATAAAAGAAATATCCCATGTACTCTCACTCAAGTAAATCCCTAGCTATGGTCATACGAGTTGAGAGAAAAAAGAGTTCTCCAGAAGAATCTGATTAAAGCGAGACTCGAGTACATTCCGTATGAGCCTGACAATACCATGTTGCTAGTCATAGGTGAGTGATGACACGTGTGACATAACATGCAATCTTTTTACTTATTATTATTATGATATTTTTTCATTTTATATTACTTGTTCCATGTATATATGATGATGTCTATGGATCTATGCAATGAGAATCATATCGTGATGAGATCATGATAATGAGACTGATTCACCTTTAAACATAGACCATAAATAATCCCGATCATAGGTTACTCGAGATAGATATCAAGATAGCTAAACATACTAATGTGTTATATACCCGTTCATATGATGAAGGTGACTAGTCTTATAGTTGCTCGTGTGGAGATATTATGGATATAATGTAAGTGCTCATTCGATGATGAATTCACTGAATGACTAGTCTAAATAATCCCGATCATAGGTTACTCGAGATAGATATCAAGATAGCTAAACATACTAATGTGTTATATACCCGTTCATATGATGAAGGTGACTAGTCTTATAGTTGCTCGTGTGGAGATATTATGGATATAATGTAAGTGCTCATTCGATGATGAATTCACTGAATGACCTGCTCATAGAATACTGGATGGTTGATGATACCTCATTGTTAAATAGTGATTCCGTGATCCCAGTTGTGTATCCGGTTCATAGACTTGGGACACTAAGGATGCCCCATATGAGTACTCCACTCTTTTATACCAAACGTATAGATCTAAAAGTTCTAGATCTTGCACAGCTAGTCATCGAGAGTAGTAGCTAATATTACGAGGGCAATTAAGTGTCAATAGAAGATCATTCACTCTTGGTATTATGAAATAAATATCATATGTGTTTTTGCTTAAGTAAATCTTTAGCTATGGTCATTCGAGTTGAGAGAGAAAGGAGTTCCCCGGGAGAATCAAATTTGAGCAAAACTCGAATAGACTCCGTATGAGCTTGACAACACCATGCTCGATATACGATCTTTGGGATATTAGATAAGTGAGGGACTATAGATACATGGTAACTGAAGATAGATAAGTCCAATAGATTGGATCCCCCTATATCGTTTGGGGAACTATAGCGTAGTGGCCTAATATGTCCATAGTCGATGAGTCGAGTGAATTATTATGAAGATAATAATTCACTAAGTCAAAAGAAGTTCTGGTATATATGACTCATGACTAGCTCGATATTGGGCCTAGAGGAGCATATACATATGGTAGGTGTTGCAACGAGTAGAAGTATGGAAAAAAGATATCCATTGAACTCCTATCTTATTAGATATCCAATAAGCCCATATATTATTAGATCCTTTGGGTGAGACCCAATTAGAGCAAATAGTGATTATTGGATAGAGATTCATTAATCTAATAGACTTAAGTAGTTGGATAGAGATCCAGTACCCAATAAGGTATGATCCATTAGGGTTAAGTTGACAGAACTTCTATAAATAAGAGAGAATTAAAGGGGCATAGGCTAGACTCTTTTTTGCTATCACCTCTTATTCTCCTCCCTCCCTCTCCTCCCAACCAATAGCCCTATTTGGGGCATGTGGATAGTAAGAAAGGTCGACCCCTTCTTGATCTTGGCACAATTCTATGGTGTGCATAGGAGAGGAAGATCGCGTATCGAAAGAAGGAGCATCATTGCGCTACTTATCATGTGAATTACCGCTAGAGAGGAGGACATTATCCAAAAATTTAGATTTGAGATTTCGAGGATATACGATCTCTCCTAGATAAGTTATCTCACATATGTTATATAGTTTATGGTTTTATATTTTTTGTGCATCAATCTTTGCACGATGATCCGATATTGAATTTTTAGGAATCTATTTTTATTTTTTGTTCTTATACTACATATGTAATGCAACCTAAGGTTTCCTAATAATATCTCCCCTTGGCATCGGGGCTTAGATCATTAAAGGTCTCCACGAAGCTTTACTTGGATCACATCAGGTAGCGATAGGTAAAGTTGAAGGCAAATAGAGGGATGCATGTCTCCAATAGCAAAACGAAGCATTGGTTGGAGATACCGAGCAATGCGTTTACCATGACTCTTCTTTTAGCATCTACCATGGATAAACCACCCTAGGCTAACACCTGCAAAGGCCAAGATCCTGACGACGAAGACAATGATTAAGAGTCGAAGTATTTAGGAAACAAAGGACTCGTTGTATGTACTTGGCTTGGGATTTGCCTCTTGTAGAACACCAAACTCGACGAGTAGATGGGCTGATACGACAGATGGGAATGGACGTAGATGAAGTAGAGTTCACGGTGGCCTTCAAAATACTTCTCCTAGAGGGGAGGTTGCTCGTTGCCCTTCAAGAGGTACCCTCCTCCGCTAGTATGCCATCTGTAGTATAGTCTGAGGGGAGGGAAGGAGGAAAGAGATCACGGTCGGAGGCAACACCCGAATTTTCTCTAGAATGCCAGCGGTCTCACGCGCCACCGACACTATCGCTGGTCTACCGTCCATAGTGCAACCAAAGGGGAGGGCCTCTCGAACCGGAGGGAAAAAAAAGTTGATATGAAATTAATAATTTAAAAGATAATAAAATTTATTATTTATTTTTTTCTTTTCACGTGATAGCACGTGTCTTTTATTTTACGTGAGAAGTATTGAAATCAGATGCTTGACTTTGTGAAGTGTCAAAATCTCAATATTATTTTTAAATTATTAGTATCGAGATATTGAGATTTTGACACTTCACAATCTAATTATGATTAATATTCTATAATTAATTATGATTAATATCTATAGAATATTAATCACAACCTGTGGACATGATCCGAGGTTTCGGATCACGGATCGAAGGCGCGCATAAAGCAAGCTCGAACTGCCAACGAGCCTATTGCTACAGTGAATCTCGTGTTGACGAGCGAAGCGTGGCTATTACGATGGAGTCGGGCGGAGAAGTTAGAGTGTTAGAGCAATCCCGGATCTTCCCAACGATGGGATCGGCGGCGGCGCCGCCCTCTCTTCTGCTCACCTTCTTCGACGTCCTCTGGTCGACCTCCGGTCCCTTCCGCCGCCTCTTCTTCTACGACTTCCCCCACCCCGCTGCAGTCTTCGCCGACTCGGTACTGCCGAAGCTGAAGTCGTCCCTGTCCCTCGCGCTTGCCCGGTTCTACCCCCTGGCGGGCAACCTCAGATGCTCCGTCAGCCATGACGACGTCTCCGAGATCGGTTGGACTGAAGGCGAATCACTGTCCTTCGCCTTGGCCGAGTGCGACAGCGGGTTCCACGAGCTCTCCGGCGACCACGCCCGCGACGTGTCCAAGCTGCAGCGGTTGGCGCCCCGGCCGATCTGGTCGGGTGCCGCGAAGCCGTTGTTGGCTGTGCCGGTCACCGTGTTCCCCGACCAAGGCTTCACCATCGGGGTATGGGTGCATCACGTCGCGTGCGACGACTCGAGCTACACGCGCTTCGTTAAATCGTGGGCGTCCGCTTGCCGAGCCGGGGAGATCGTGGAGCCGGCGGCACCGTTATTCGACAGGATGGAGATCCCTAATCCCCTTCAGCTGCGTTCCGTCAACTTCATTCCAGGTTACGAGAACTCCGGGACCCGTGAAGCGTCGACCCTCGCCTCCAACTTGGTTACCGCCACGTTCGCCCTCGGACAAGAGCACATCCGGCGTCTCAAGTGCTGGGTGATGGCCAAGGCCGGCGAGCGCAACACCACCTTCCATTGCTCGACAGTGGTGGTGACCTGCGCGCACGTGTGGGTCTGCCTCCTGAAGACGTTGGGCGACGCAGGCGACGAGACCGCGCACTTCACATTCACGGCGGATGCCAGGGATCGGCTGCGGTCGCCAGTGCCCGAGACATACTTTGGCAACTGCATCGTCCCGTGCTTTGTGGAGGTGAAGGTGAGCGATCTGGTCGGGGAGGACGGCATCTTCGCCGCCTCGGAGGCCATCGGGAAGGCCATAGAAGACCTGAAACATGGCGCCCTGAAGGGTGTGCATGGCATGTGCGAGAGATGGTATCATGTCACGCAGAAACTTCCCATGACCCTGACGGGATCACCCAAGTTCAAAGTTTACGATACTGATTTCGGGTGGGGAAGACCGGTGAAGGTTGAGACTGTGTTGCAGAAGACCCGAGCCATGTATCTGCAGGATAGCAGAAGTGGAGATGGCGTGGAAATTGGCCTATCATTCGAGCAGCATCAGATGGATGCGTTCGAGAGGCACTTCCTCAGTGGCCTGAAACTTCTTCCTGAATAGATCTGCGTGGAGATCGAGTGAGGTTTGCTGATGGAGCTGAAATGTTTGTGCTCGTGTTTGATCTTGACGTTTTCCCGTACGTGAATCCTACTAATTATAGTGCAATCATCGACTGAAGTCAAATTCCT